CGGGTGTTACAATTCATCGTTTCGCGGGGATTTTGGATGGAAGATATTCAGATGAGCAGTTGTGTCATCTTGTTATGTATGATGACGACTGCAGGCGGTATAAAGATAACATAATGAACACTGACATTCTCCTACTTGACGAGATATCTATGTTATCTGCCAAATTGTTTTTACAGATTAAACATTTATGTAGATATGTGAGAAAATGTGACATGCCCTATGGGGACATGCAAGTGATAGCAGCGGGGGATTTCAATCAGCTGAAACCTGTACCAAACAAAGACTACAATGACCCAGGTCATTTGGTGATCAGCCATCCTGATATCAAGAGACTATTTCCACATCACTTTGTGTTGAAGGATGTCCACAGACAATCACAAGGTATAATTGAAATCAAAATATTTAATTTCTTTTTTTACATCATAAATATCTATTATATATTACATTATATACAGCTTATCATTGTTATTGTGATGACAAATCTGTGTAAACATTGCTTACATTCAACAAGTTTTAAATTTTCATCATATATAATATTTCATCAACATATTGTAGTAAAAATTACATAGAAATTAATTTCTTTGTGTTTCAGTTGACTTGATACAAGCTGTCAATGAGCTAGGTAGAGGGGAAATTTCCAAAGATGATTGAAGCGTTCACTGCCACCAGGACCAGGACCAGAGCCAGTCAGACTGTTCGCTCATCACTATGATGTTGAAAAGTGCAACTCAGATCACCTTATGGATATGGCAGGTAATGAGTGAGTGAGTGAGTTAAAATTTTAAGTCACATCGGCAATATTTCAGCCATATCGTGACTATCAATGGTTAAATATAATACATATATTGAAGTTTTATATAAAAACCTGCCAACGAAGGGCAGTAAAATAACTAGACTTATCACAGAAATAAAGTTAAAACTAGCATGTAATCATAAAATCAATAGCACGATACAAAACTTGACATTATAAAAACGGGCTATAGATCGCCAGCAACTAAAGGTAGATCACCATGCTAGGGTCCATGGGGACTTACAGTACTTTTGCTACCTGCATGGACCCCAGCCGGATTTACATCATCCCTTCAGGTGTTGGCGATAATTGATAAATTTAGCCAGATTAAAGGAACACATATTCTACTTTTAAAACTGTAGTTGGAATAACATTCTTTGAATGATATGGACTTACGATACCCTCTCAGGGGGACAATAATTTTACACTACTTCAACCCCCTTTGAGGATACAGCCACGATCAATCATAGATATTGATTTATTCCACTAATAGTAAAAAGTCATTTAGTTTATACAAAGCAAATTAACAAAATTTACTGAACAACTCTATTTCTTTTAAAAAGCCAATAATTAAATGAGAACTAATAGTGTTAAAAAGATCCTTCATAGATTTAACATTGAAATATTTATCCCTTGTGATGGAAAAATCAACACAGTCAAGCAGGACATGCTTGACCGTGATTCTTTCATCACAAGGGATGCAGAACGGAGGATCCTCACCTTTCAATAGATATTCATTGGTGTAACGCGCATGGCCAATACGACATCGTCGTATTATGACCTCTTCAAATCTGGACTGACAACCCAAGTAGGTGTAACCGATATTTGGTTTAATGTCATGTAATTTATTGATACCTACCTGGGTGTCCCACTTCTTTTGCATCAGATCTCGTATATATGATCCAATCACAGGCCTGTAATCAGTATATGGAACAAGAAGTGGTGTCACAGATTTGTTGAGTGCTGCTTTAGCAGCAGCATCGGCCATTGTGTTACCTTTGATGCCAACATGGCTTGGTAACCAGGAAAAAACGATGTCGTATTGGCCAGTAGCAAGTTCATTATATAATTCAAGTATTTCGATTAAAAGTGGATGTTTTGTAGATTGATTTGTAATTGCCTGAAGACAGGAAAGAGAGTCGGAGAATATAATAAACTGTTTATGCTTTGATTCTTTACGAATGTATTTTAGTGCTGTTAAGATGGCGTTTGATTCGGCTGTAAAAATGGAACAGTTATCTGGTATTCTAGACGATATTGTCCTGGATCCAATGATGGTGGCGCTGGAAACTGCGTCACCATCCTTTGATCCATCGGTAAATATAGATTTATAAGTATCATATTTGTGTCTTAACTGAGTATATTCTTGTTGAAAAATTAGTTGATTTGTTTCAGATTTTTTAAATTTAGTTAAGGTTAGATCCACCTCTGGTTTCACTAACTGCCATGGGGGGGAAATCAAAAGTTGGGTGGGGGCTATATTTTCAAGATTTATTTTAGCAGCCGAAATAGAAGATTGTATTCTTAAGCCAAGCGGAGGAGTGAGTGATGATCTTTTTGTATAGAGGTCTTCGTAAAGAGGGTTAAAAACACAGTCATAGGCTGGATTGGATTTCAAAGAACGTAGTTTAGTAATATACTGCAAAGATAATTTAACACGACGTTGTTTAAGTGAAGGCTCATCAGCCTCCACATACAGACTATGAATTGGAGATGTTCTAAAGGCTCCAAGGCAAAGCCTCAGGCCCTGATGATGAATAGAATCCAGCTTTTTCAAATTGCTTTTACATGCTCCACCGTAGACGATGGAGCCGTAATCAAGTTTAGAGCGGATGAGGGCTCTGTACAGTTGGAGGAGGGTTTTCTGATCCCCTCCCCATTTTGCGTTTGAAACTACTTTAATTATATCGAGAGCCTTCAGGCATTTAGTTTTTAAATAATTTATGTGTGGCAGAAAGGTCAAATGATGGTCAAAAATAATACCAAGAAACTTGGCCTCTTTGACAACATTGATAGGAGCACCATCCAAAACTAATTCAGGGTCCTTATGCGGCTTATACTTTCTACAAAAATGAATACATTTGGTCTTGGCTCGTGAAAATTTAAAGCCATTTTCCAGACACCATTTATTGATTTTGTTTAAACACAATTGTAGTTGTCTTTCAATGGTATGCATGTTTTTACCACGACAAGAAACATTAAAATCATCCACAAATAATGATCCATCAAGTGAATCGTTTAAAACCTTCGACAAACTGTTTATCTTTATGCTGAACAATGTTACAGACAAGATACTGCCTTGTGGGACACCCTGATCCTGATTGTAATGGTCAGACAGGGTTGAACCCACACGAACTTGAAATTGTCTATTTTTTAAAAACTGAGAAATAAATAGAGGCAAACGGCCCCTTAAACCAAAATCATGTAAATCTTTTAAAATACCATACTTCCATGTGGTATCATATGCTTTTTCGAGATCGAAAAATATTGATACAGCATGTTGTTTATTTATTATGGAGTTTTTAATAAAAGATTCTAAACGTACTAAATGATCGACGGTACTGCGATTTTTGCGGAAACCACATTGAATGTTAGTAATGAGATTGTTGGTTTCCAAGTACCAAACTAAACGATTATTTATCATACGTTCCATAGTCTTACAAACACAGCTAGTGAGGGATATTGGTCTATAATTCGAAGGATCGGTATGATCACGACCAGGCTTAGGTATAGGAATGACAGTAGCATTTCGCCATGATGATGGAAAATTTCCAGAAGTCCAAATATTGTCAAAGATATTTAGCATTGTTTCTAAACACGATTCAGGTAAATGTTTAAGGAGCTGATAATGAATATTATCAGGCCCCGAAGCAGTATCGTGAGCTTGCCCAAGGGCAGTATGGAGCTCATGAATTGAAAACACTTCATTATAATCCTCACCGTTATCTGAGTGAAAATTTAGTTTCTTTTTTTCTTGTTGTTCCTTATATTTCTGAAAGTTAGGGACATAATTAGATGATGAGGAATGTTGAGCTAATGTTTCACCTAATTTATTAGCAATAGCAGATTTATCTGTTAGAAGAGTGTCACCCTCCTTGAGATGGCGAACAGTGGATTTGGACCCTTTTCCTTTAATTTTCTGAACCATATTCCAAACCTTTGAAATAGGCGTTCGTGAATTAATTTTAGAAACATATGTTTGCCATGACTGTCGTTTATTTTGTTTAAATGTGCGACGAGCCTTGGCATTCGAAATTTTAAATTGATTTAAGTTATGGACAGTTGGATGACGACGAAAATATTTTTCTGCCTTCTTCCTCGCCTTTCTAGCTCGTTTGCAGTCCATGGTAAACCATGGTTTACGGATATGAGGAACCGTAGAGGACTTCGGGATACATTCATCAGCAATTATATTTAATTCCTCAGAAAACACTTCAATAGGATCATCATCATTTAGAAAGAATTCAGTCTGTAATCTTTCAGTGCATAATGTATGAAATAAAGACCAATCGGCCTTTGTAAAATTCCACCTCGATGATGGTGGAGCATCAATTGGATTTATAGTTGAAATTACAGTCGGAAAATGGTCACTTCCGCAAAGGTCATCGTGGACTGACCATTCAAATTCATTAAACAGATTGGCATCTGCAACAGATAAATCCAGAGAGGAGTAGGAGCCAGTCGCAGGATGTAAATATGTGTTAGAGCCATCATTAAAAATACATAAATCATTATTTGAAAGGAAATCCTCGAGGATCTTACCTTTTGTATTGGTGTTATTACTTCCCCAAAGGGGGTTGTGGCCATTGAAATCTCCCATGATAATGCAGGGTTGAGGGAGTTGGTCATAGAGGGCCTGTAAGTCTGATTGACGTAGAGAAGATGATGGTGGAATATAAAGTGAACACAAAGTGAACACAATATGCAGCGTAACACGTACTGCAACTGCCTGAAGAGGGGTATTCAGTGGAACAGCGCTATGAATGGTTTTTCGACGCACCAAAATAGAAGATCCTCCAGTAGCCTTCTCACCAGGAGGAGAGAAGCAATGGTAGGAATCATAATTTCTGAAATCAAATTTGTCTGTAGATTTTAGGTATGTTTCTTGCAAACATAATGCTGATGGATTGTAATCCTGAGTTAAAAGTTGTAAATCATTAAAATTGTTTCTGAGTCCTCTACAGTTCCATTGTACAATATTGGAAGACATTTATCTATTTGGAAGTTTAATTGGGGATCTACCCCGCCCTTTCTTTAAGGGTGACAAGCTATGTGCCCTCTGATGGCTGCTGTCAGACACATCCATGTCTTCGAGAGATCCAAACTTGTTGAATATTTGGATCTTGTTGTCTGATCCTTTTGATACCCTGCCACTCAGATACTTTTTTGATGATTCTGATTTGGGTTTGTTTTTGTTTTTGACCACCTGTTTTACACTTTTTTCTGCTTGCAGTGTTGGAGGCAACTGAGATGGTGATTGGTCGTGAGAAGTTTGTGAACTGGCGGTTTCTAATATGATTGTGGAATCCGCAGATAGAGAAATCACTTCAGGAGCATCCGTTTTGGTCCAGGTGAAGTCCGTTTGACATCCAACAGCTACGCATGAAACAGCTTGTTTAACACGTTGAGGAGCAGGTTGTGAGATTGGTCTGGAAACAGCTACGGAGTAAGAACCGCGAGGAGACTGTTCTTCATCCATAACAATCTTCTTTGCATCTGGAAATGAAATATTTCTTTCGTGTTTCAATTTTACAATTTTTGATTCACGTTTGAAAGTTGGACATTCTTTGGACGAGGAAAAATGGTTTCCGCCACAGCTGACACAGAGAGGATCTTTGTTACAATCGGCACTGTCCACACAGTTGCCAGCACATCTATGACAAACAGGTTGTTTGACACATGTTCTTGAACCATGACCATACTGCTGACACTTGTAGCATCGCAGTGGGTTAGGGATGTACATATCAACATTGATGTTACAATAACCTGCTCTGATTGAGGTTGGGATTTTTGGGAGACCGAAAGTGAAGAGGTATGTATTGGTCTTAATGACCTCACCATTCCTCTTTGATGAAAAACGTTTCACAGATATGACATTTTGGTTGTGTAGTTCTTCCAAAATTTCATCCTCGGTCATATCAGCAAGGAAACGACCTCTATCTCTTACTATACCTTTGCTGCTGTTCAGGCACCTGTGAGGGGACACCACAACAGGAACATTGGCAAGGGACTTAATTGAAAGAAGGCAAATGGCTTGCTTGTGTCGCCTACATTTTATCAACAAGCATCCACTGCGTAGTCGTTTGGCATCCTCAACATCCCCTGCTATACCTTGTACGGCCTTTTCAACGGCAAACGGGTTGAGTTTGAGAGGAGTGCCATCCAAAGTAGAGATTACCAGGAATCTGGGCCAGTTTTCGAATGTTATAGTTGGTGTCCTCAGACTATCATTCTCATTATCGAAACATTCATGCGATTCATGAGATCGTTTTTTTTGTGGGGGTTCCATGGTAGTAGTAATTGTGATTCACTCTCTTGGGTCCCCACCCACCATGGAGTGTCAACAAGGACAATGCCATATGCCTGTGGGCCTCCGACAGGCGACACCAAGGATACCAAGAGAGTATACTCAAGCAGAAACATCATATAAAATGTTCCACCAGATTGGCCCATGAGCCACCGCCTTCTGGGCATTGGGACTCTAGGCAAATATAGAAATGTTTCAGTTATAGTTAACAGTACATTTCAAAAGTCTACACATGTATGAGTAATATATCACTGTACAGTTTATCAAATAACTTGAGAATAAAATTGATCAAGTCAAAAGCATGAAATATAGTTCCTGACATACGGTCCAAAAATGTGCAAATGAAATTAAATGCACAGGGCTCGACATGACCAGCCGATTGATAGGACCGGGCCCATCCTACCACCCGTCTAGGCGAAGTAAGGGTCGAAGTGGTATATTGGGCAAAGGAACGCTATTCCTGGAACCAGTGCCCTCAACCACCAGACTCCCGTCCTCCGCCGACACGGGACGCAACCCACGGCAAACAGGTTGCCCATTTTAGTCGCCTCATACGACCAGCAATGGGAGGCTGTGGAAATATTCTACCCCGGTTCCACACGGGGGAAGAGCTATTAGCGTTACCCAGCACTCACCACGAGGAGGTTGCTCTTCACGAGTGCCATATGGCAGGTAAACAAACATGATTATACACCTCTCTTTATTTCAGCACTGATAATCTGATAGACTGACATTAGCTGTGTAAGTCTTCAGTTAGGCAGCCACACATTACATGATTCACACTCGTAAGGTTTTAGGCTTCTTGGACAGGGGACCATCAATGTAAAAGGAAACAGGCAGCATTTGACTTCCTCCGTCTTGACTTCAGTGTTTGTCCAAGTATTATTAGGGCTCCAAGCCTGAAAGGCTGTAGAGCCCTATTGTAATCGTTGTGTTTATTATTATTATTATTCCGCCGTTTTTTCACCAGACCTACAAAAACAACCAGTAGCCAGAATGGCTTCAAAATCGACAGCAATATCGGCATCAACGTGACGCAGATACCAGCAAAAACCCAAGGCCATAGGCCAAATGGCTAAGGGCAGATAACTCATCAAAGTTTCAACTTCAGCAGCAATAATCTTCGAAACTAATTGTCCAATGACTTCCAGATTTGCCATGCGACAGCGCAATCAGATGCCCATCATTTTGTACTGCAGGACCATGGCAGCTACAACGCACCGTTTGGCAGCCATGTTGGATTTAAAGGTTTTGGCACTTTCTGTCACCTTTTTTCTCAGTACTTGTCTCTCAAAATCTGCTCAGCTCAAACAACCAGCTCAAAAGCTTCCAAACTTTCCATTCTTTGTGTCCAAGTACCATACCAACAACTTCCGAGAAAACATACTTAGGTCAAAAGTCATGCGTTTTCCTGATACCTCATGTCCTGGCGATTCCAGAACACCAAACCGTTTGACTGTCGCTAAACGGACAACGAAACTACAACGTTTTAAAGAGGGAACTCTTTGGCCCTCTGTCATAAACTTGCCATATAGCAGAACTCTAAACACTAATATTTCGGCTAATACTGGGCCGATTTCGCCCAAATTTCGTGTGTATGTAAACTGGGCCTGTTCATAGTCATGCCTTATTGTAGCCACGTCGCATTGAAAGAAAGGAAGAGAAAATGTGAACAGAATTCTTCTATAACAACAAATTTTAACCTATTGTACCTCACCATACCATCCAATAAATGTCAGACTAGTCATGCTTTAGTATTTAAATATGCAGTTCGACATTGAAATCCTTTCACAAAATTCCACGTTTACATACAGCAAACTGATCCGACTGTGAAAATGTCATTTTATGGGGAAAACAGTCAGATTGTACGACACTTCAGTAAATAGACTGAAAGTAGCGTCCTTGCTCTTGACGCTGTATTCGGTAAACCTGTGGTATATGTTTGTGGATTTCATAAACAAGTACGTGGACTTTCTGTGTTATTTTGAGCGAACTGCGGTTGTGTTTATCCGTAATGGACTACATAGATCACTGGTCAGTCTCAGTGAAATAGAGTGTACATTATGCGGGTAAACAACGCAAGCAGAAACGGACTATAGAAATATATTTTAAGAAGCAGTGAAAGAAGCCCCCCCCCCCCCCCCCCCCCCCCAAACCGCTTTAACCTTTCAACCTCCTTCTGGCCAAGTGACCATACCAAAGATGTCAATTATCTACGATTATCTCTCCAGTGGCACGCCCGAGATTTACGGAATTTACCGAATGAACTCATATTTAGGAATCATGAAGTAGATATCCTTTTAAAAGATTGCATATTAACGATTATCTATAAAAAAAAGTTTCAAAACTAATTCTTTTACGATTTTCAATGTATTTTTAAGGGAGAGATAAATATTTTATGTCCCGCCAATTCATATCACATGACCAGACCTCCCCTGCTAGCGAAGAAGACATCACCAAAGTCAGTTAGAAACATTGATACCATGGCGTCGAGTTCTAAGAAGATGAAAAGAGACGACACGACAAATGAGTCAAGAACAGGTTACATGGTGAACGTATCACCCATCAAACTAGGATCTAAGTATGGCACTCCTTACTTTAACCTGAAGTTACAGACGGGGGAACAATCAACAAGAGATGTGGTAATTTACTCTGGCAGTACTGAAAAGAGAAATGAGTTTGATGCAAGAAGTAAAACGAAAGAAGGCATTGAGCTACTTGGAGTCACTGACATTCCCAGTAAGTGTTAACCTTTTAAATAAAATTAAATATTTTCACACTTTTTAACTACTACTATAACATAATAATTGCGACCCGTGAAGATTCCGGTGTAGAACTGGTCTTCAGCAACCCATGCTTCCCGTAAAAGGCGACTAACGGGGTAGGCAGGCTCGCTTACTTGGAAATAAATTTTTGTCCCGCCAATTCATATCACATGATCAGACCTCCCCTGCTAGCGAAGAAGACATCACCAAAGTCAGTAAGAAACATTGATACCATGGCGTCGAGTTCTAAGAAGATGAAAAGAGACGACACGACAAATGAGTCAAGAACAGGTTACGTGGTGAACGTATCACCCATCAAACTAGGATCTAAGTATGGCACTCCTTACTTTAACCTGAAGTTACAGACGGGGGAACATTCAACAAGAAATGTGGTAATTTACTCGGGCAGTACTGAAAAGAGAAATGAGTTTGATGCAAGAAGTAAAACGAAAGAAGGCATTGAGCTACTTGGAGTCACTGACATTCCCAGTAAGTGTTAACCTTTTATTTTATTAAATATTTTCACACTTTTTATCTACTACCATAACATAATAATTTCGACCCGTGAAGATTCCGGTGTAGAACTGGTCTTCAGCAACCCATGCTTCCCGTAAAAGGCGACTAACGGGGTAGGCAGGCTCGCTTACTTGGAAATAAATTTATGTCCCGCCAATTCATATCACATGATCAGACCTCCCCTGCTAGCGAAGAAGACATCACCAAAGTCAGTAAGAAACATTGATACCATGGCGTCGAGTTCTAAGAAGATGAAAAGAGACGACACGACAAATGAGTCAAGAACAGGTTATGTGGTGAACGTATCACCCATCAAACTAGGATCTAAGTATGGCACTCCTTACTTTAACCTGAAGTTACAGACGGGGGAACAATCAACAAGAGATGTGGTAATTTACTCTGGCAGTACTGAAAAGAGAAATGAGTTTGATGCAAGAAGTAAAACGAAAGAAGGCATTGAGCTACTTGGAGTCACTGACATTCCCAGTAAGTGTTAACCTTTTAAATAAAATTAAATATTTTCACACTTTTTAACTACTACCATAACATAATAATTGCGACCCGTGAAGATTCCGGTGTAGAACTGGTCTTCAGCAACCCATGCTTCCCGTAAAAGGCGACTAACGAGGTAGGCAGGATCGCTTACTTGGAAATAAATTTATGTCCCGCCAATTCATACCACGTGATCAGACCTCCCCTGCTAGCGAAGAAGACATCACCAAAGTCAGTTAGAAACATTGATACCATGGCGTCGAGTTCTAAGAAGATGAAAAGAGACGACACGACAAATGAGTCAAGAACAGGTTACGTGGTGAACGTATCACCCATCAAACTAGGATCTAAGTATGGCACTCCTTACTTTAACCTGAAGTTACAGACGGGGGAACATTCAACAAGAGATGTGGTAATTTACTCGGGCAGTACTGAAAAGAGAAATGAGTTTGATGCAAGAAGTAAAACGAAAGAAGGCATTGAGCTACTTGGAGTCACTGACATTCCCAGTAAGTGTTAACCTTTTATTTTATTAAATATTTTCACACTTTTTATCTACTACCATAACATAATAATTTCGACCCGTGAAGATTCCGGTGTAGAACTGGTCTTCAGCAACCCATGCTTCCCGTAAAAGGCGACTAACGGGGTAGGCAGGCTCGCTTACTTGGAGTGAGTGAGTTTAATTAAAGTAACGTCGGCAATATTTCAGCCATAATGTGACTTGAAAGAGTTGGACAAGATTAATAAAAAACTGTCGACGAAGGACAGTAGAATAACTAGCAGTATATCACAGATTGACTTAAAACTAGTTGTAGAACATTAAAACTATTTGAACAGTTGGATACGACACAATATAAAAATGGGGCTATAGATCACCAGCAACAAGGTGAAGGTCACCATACTAGGGACCAAGGGGACTTACTGTACCTCTGCTACCTGCATGGTTCCCCAGCAGGATTTACACCTTTACCCAAGTTACCGGTGATTGTTGCAAGTTTTAGCCAGAGATTAAAATCAACAAATATTCTGCAGTTAAAATAGAGGTAGATATAAATATACATTGAAAGAGGTGGTCTTACATACCCTCTCAGGGGGACGATAATTTTACGCTACGTCAACCCCCGTCAAGGGCATAGCCACGAACAATCTCTGTTAATAATCATACACTACCGATTCATAAAATACATATCAAAATTTGTGAACTAG